GAAATTAAACTATTTCAGTTTTAAAGTAAACTTTAACTTATAGCAAACAATGCAGTGAGGTTGTATAGTTCATTTTTATAAATATCCAAATTAGCTTAAAACTCAAGAATACAGATAGCATTCCCATCAAATACATCGTTTCTCACATTTACATAGGAAAATTAATTTTTAAATGTACTGTATGATACACTTAATGCATGGTATGTGAAAGAATAACGTATAATTTCCACATAATCTTTATGAAATATTCTGCTTTAGGGTGAGACTGACAATTCATGAAATTAGAAGGTACAAATTAATGAGAAAGAATAGTGAAATATTAGTTCTAACTATGGAAAATTATAATTTTTAAGAACAATTTGGTTTTCAGTGAGCTTAAATCTAGCTTTCTCTTCATACAAGATGAAAAAGTACATTAAAAAGTTTAAACAATTACTCTACAACAGGTTTTGATGTGCTGTATTTCAGAACCGCCAAATATGGTTTTATAACATTTGATAACCTATAAAAAAGAGGAAACTCCAAAAAACAAATTCAAACCCTAGAGTTAGGAGAATGACTCCCCTGGACTTCCTCAAACAAAAAAACCGAGCACACTCCTGTTTTTTAAATGAAGTCTCTTATTTTGCTATTTTAAAATAATTTTTTATTAGAATACATTAGAAAATACAATAATTTGTCTAAAATACATATATTATAAAGAGAGCATTTTCCTTACCCAGTATGCTTAGGCTTTCGGTCTGAAAAACCTTCTGAAGTGGAGGAAAGTAAATAACCAGTAATTGTCCCATAATGGAGCCAAGAACTGCATAGCAAAACATTTTGTTACTGCAGAGTCCAATCTCAAACACAGACTTGGTCTGTTGGCAGAGCAGAGAGTTCAATTACTACTCTTTGGTCATAGAAATAACTTATTATTATATTCACTTCCAATTTTTAATAACCAGTATCACTATATCACTGAATTCTACAATGTCACTACCATGACATCTCTTAATTTTAACTATTATTTTGGAATAATTCAGATGGAATAAGGGTAAATATTAAAGCAGCTTCTATTTATCAAGAAAGACCTTGCTTTAAAAAGTAATACTATATGTATGAGACCATAGAAAGAAAGAAGGCTTACTGTAGTATCCCAAACATTAAGAAACTTTATTTGTATTTTACTAAATCATTTCTATTCATTAAGGTAAATAATCTAAAATTCTTTCTTGAAAAATGAACCTATTTATGTGCACTGAAAAAGTAAAACCACTTTCATTAAAAAAATGAATACTACAGCTTCTTCAAGAATTAGTCGATTATCTCAGAAGCAGCAGCAGGCAAAAAAAATTAGTTTCAATTAGTGCAATTCACTGTACTTAGAAACGTTCTAGCATGGCAAATGGTAATAGATATAGTTAAGGATTCATACAGTGCTTTAAAATTGAAATGAATAGTCATGCCTCAACTGAAACTAGTTTTCAAGGACAATATGCTCTGAAAAGGTACCACTAGATTCTAGCCCATTATTTTCTATCAAAACACTTGGACTAAGATGACGCAGTCATGCTTAAGATAAAACATTGGAAATGTTCTAATGGCTTTGACACACTAACAGAAATGATGGGAAAAAAATTAATTTACACAAAATTGTTCTTGCACTCCAAGCAAGAATGTTTTCTAAAATGAGACTACTATCATCTTCACAGAACCCATAATGTTTGTCTTATGCTCAGATGTTAACCTGAATCTATCTTACACTACAGCTGATAAGATAATAGAAAGAAGAAAGATCACATGACACCACCTGTGATTTACTTTGATGTTCTAGTCAAACATAAGGCTTACCCCCGCAGGTGCCCCATCTTCATGGGGCCCACGTTTATAAAAAGGTTGTCTTTGGGGCTATAATCTATGGCTACAAAACTAAGCAATCTAAAAACTCATAATCTTTACCTACTTATTATTAAAGAGTGTTCTACTCAACTGAGTCAATCAACTAAGATCATCTAAGCATACCTGGGATCTAGAACTTAGTGCATTAAACATGTCAAAAAACACAAAGCACGTGAAGGTCATTGTTGTGTCCCGAGGTGTTATCACATTGTCTCGCAGCTGTCAAGAGGAAATAACAAAATGGCTTTTTAGTGGCTAAATTTAATAGACAAATACTGTATGCTTTTAAAATGTTAATATTTTCTTTTCATTAGGATAAAATAGCTTTAGTCTAAGATATGAAACATAAAAGCTACCTAAATTTCCTATAAATCACCTAATGAATAGCTATATCTAAATAATAAAAAGTAAAAAAAAGTTTTCATAACTATATTAGATATTAAAGTACTGTCATTATTTAATAAAATAGTTATATACTCATATTTTTTAACTTTTCTCAAAATTTTCATGCATTAATGTTTATTGTATCTGATACCTCAGCAGATTTAAATTATTCTAATATATGAATCAAAAATTCTATTTTCCATAAAGATTGAAATCAAACTCTTTCAAAATGTTATATTTTTCACTCAAAGAGCTCTCCTCACTGCCCAGCCTTCTGTGTAAGACACCAAAATAACTAAGAATCCTATCCTACAGAACGCATGTTAATACAGTAGCTTATCCAATGAATATACCTCACGCCAGAAGACAAATAAAGTCCCACAAACAATGATTATTGATGAAACAAGTATTTTAAGTATCAAGTTTTTAGTCAAAATGCTGTCCTTCCAGTTGCGAGGAGGTTTACGAATAACATCTTTATCCACTGGTTCTACTCCAAGGCTTAAAAGCAAATAGAAAAATGAATTAAAATTTTTAAGGTTTGGATTTGTTATTTTCACCTCATTAACCTCAATTATCCAGAAAACTGTTATGGACAAACTGATGAATCCATAAAGAAAACCCTGGCTATGATTACTCAAAAATAATCACTGATTTTTTTCACTATTTCTCTACTCTTTTTGGCAGACTGTTAGGGGACTGATGGTCAACTTTCAAAAAATTGTCCAATTCCATTTGCATATAAGTTTACTTATTTCAAATAGGGTGTGAAATACATGACCACCAACTGGACTTTGAAATTGTCTTTCATAAAAGAACCACTAGACTAGGATGATTTGTTTCAGCCAATGACATGTATCACTCAACTGCCCATTATAAAAGAAAACAGTTAGATGGTCAGGTCCTTCAAGACTTTCCCATAGCCTGCACAACCGACAAAGAAACTAGGTGATAACACTGACCTCAGAGATTTCTCCATTACATCCATTTCTTAGAAATAAAAAGCTTACTTCCTGAAGATAGGAATTACACCTATTCCCCAATCTCTTCTCAACCTAAGGATAGGCATCTAACAGTGCAAAGGCTCAGATCCACACAGCATGAATGAATACTCAAAGAGAATAAATGATATGCACACATCACACAATATGTAACAAATATGTTGCTGCAAAGTTTTCCAAAGCCATGCATAAAGTTTCAAAACTTAATTATCAGGGTATCACACATTTCTTGTCTTTCCTGTTCAACATGAAAAAACTCTTACCTCTGCGCTGGGGGTCCATCCATAATAATATTGATCCACAAAATCTGCATGGCATTGAGAGGATTAGGAAAGTTCATTAATGTAGCCAATGAGATTAAAGTTAATGCTGCTATACTCCTGTTGAAAAAGAGAGTCATTTAAAAATCTGTCAGCATAGTAAAGCTCCTGCTGATTTTATGATACCACTTTTTTAGCATTTAAAAATCTCATGTTACTACTGCAATACAGTAATACTGTTACTGTATTTCAAGTAACCTATGCTTCATTAATATGGACATTTTGAAGCTAAGAGTATTTTAACAAAGATTTTCAAGATGTTTAGACAACAAAAGCAAATAGAGAAAGATTTTAAAATCTACACCACAGTTAACAGTTTCAACATTTTTGTAACTGTCTTTTGACTAGGGAAACCCCTTCTACTTTTGGGAAAAGATATCAAGAGGAAGCAATGAGATGTGACTCATCCCTTAGTTATTTCATGAGCTATTAAATAAATCACAAAGGTTTATATGTTTTGATGATGATATAGACACCTAATTATCACATGTAGAACCTACTTGTCATGCCATTTTTAATTTCAGAATACAATTAATTGTCTTTCTGGAAAACTTACATATGAACAATCCTCAGAAATACAGGGCAGAAGTTCCTAGGCATTCTGCTTAAGTTCTACTTTTCATATAATTTATCTACAAGACCCATAGTGACAAATTTTTTGCAAACTTACGTGCTGAGTTGGAATCTAACAAAATTTTTAATGTTATTATAAATCCCTTTACCCTCTTCAATTGCAGACCTGAAATTTTAAAAATAAAGAAAGATGAAATGAAAAATATTATCATATAAAAATAAAGCTTTATCTATACTAAAACGCTATGGAGCTAATTTTGAAAATAAATTTCCAACTAATACAACACATGTATCACTAAAAACAATTATTTCTGTCACATAACTAAAATTAGAAAAAAATGGAAACATTTATTATAGCAAAGAATTAAAGTCAAGCCTCTAAGCTTAATGAAATTATAATCAGTTTCATTACACAATATTAAAATTCTTATTCTTAAGAAGATATTTCAACATTAAAATCATACACTGTTTCTCCACACAAGAGACAGTACTACACATTTATAATACTAAAATGATGATTTTTACCCCCCTAAGCTCATTTTTCTTAGAGGTAAAGATGCAAGGTAAAGGTTTAAATTAGTGTGCGTCAGGAATCAAACAGCAACAAGATATTTAAGAATTAGAAAATTTAAGCTATCTTTTGCTCCTACACACAAGTAGATAATATGTTGTAGAATAATTAAATAAAGAATATGGCTTACAAAGGTTCGAATAAATTCTCTCACTCATTTGGCTGGATCTAGAAAAATGTCTTTTACACACTTTCCCCTTTCTTCTAAGATTTTAATATAATTCTAACATGGGAAAGAAAAAAAATTCTTATATCCTTGCAAGAGCTTGGCAAATACTCTGAGTCCTGAGCACCCAAATGGTTCACTTTAGGCAGAAAGAAAGTAACAAAGTTCCCTAGGACATGTAATGAGAATTTATCACGAAACTGAATTAAGATCCAGGTCATCCAATAGGTGGTTATCAAAAAAATGGAACTCACACAACCCACACCTGACTACTGTGAAACTGATAACCACCAGGTATTACACTGAAGTCTTAAATCAATTGGAAACTGTGGCTGAAACAAATAAACCTATTCAAACTTAATAAATTATACTATGAAATGAGGGCAACATGAATAACTACTGATATAAGAAAATAGGTAGGGATATGAATTTAACAATTTTTAATATTTTAAGTATATACATTTCTGATTACCTGAATGTAATCAGACATAAAGGCCCCATGAAGGTTCACTCTTGTACCACCATACTAGTGCCCAGAAAAAATGTGACACATGGCTGGCACTCAGCAAATATTTCTTAAATGAATGGCTCCTGCCATTCACTATGCCTGTTCCATCCATACAAAATCATTTTGTCCAGAATTATACACTAGGCCATCAAATAAGATTAATTAATCCAGAAACAGTTTACCCAATTAATTTACTGCTAATTCTTTTCCAGTTGAATTGTCTGGGGATGGAGTGTAGGAAAAGATAGGGAAAGATTTTCTGATATGCATTCACTGAAACAAAACTTACATTATAGTTTGGAAATCATCATCCACCAGGATCATGTCTGCTGCTTCTTTGCAAACATCTGTACCAGTCTGGCCCATTGCAACTCCAATGTCTGCAGCCTTCAAAGCAACTGCATCATTTACTCCATCTCCTGTCATGGCTACAACCGAACCATTCTTCTGCAAAGACTGGAATGGAGAAGTGGGGGTCAGGAAAGAATTCTGACAAAAATGTTGATGCCATAAAGACAAAGGGATAAACAAATCCTTTTTTTTTTTTGAGACAGGGCCTCGCTCTATCATCCAGAGTAAAGTAGTGCACTCATAGCTCACTGCAGCCTCTAATTACTAGGCTCAAGTGATCCTCCTGCCTCAGCTTCCCAAGTAGGTAGGACTACAAGTACGTGCCACCACACCAGCTGATTATTTTTTTTTCCATATAATTAAGATTATATGGAAACCTCAATATATGGAGGTCTTAATATGATAAAGCTCAGAAAAAGTTGCTACTGATATTCCCATCTGGGAGAACTGTATGTCTAAAGTCTCATCTTCAGTCTACTATACAATGATTCTCAACTAGGGGCAATTTTGTCTCCCAGGGGACACCTGACTATATTTGGAGACATTTTCAATTGCCATGACTTGGGGAGTGCCACTGGCATCTATTGGGTAGGGGCTCAGGGATGCTGCTAAACATTCCATTAATACAACACACAGGACAGCCACTCACAACAAAGGATTATTCAGCCCAAAATGTCAATAGTACTAGTTGAGAAACTCTGAACTATATATACAATGGCTGGCTATTGTGATTAACAACTTAAGTCTATTAAGTCTACTATGTCAATTTGACTAATTAATATAAATAACCATAGCCTTTTAAATACTGTTCACGTTCTTATAACATTGTTTTCTTGCTGTATTTACTTAGTTTCTAACTAGTTACCACTATTCACATTGGGATGATTTAGCTATGGACCCTTGTCAGAACATATTTTTACCTTGTCTAACTGTTTGAAGAAAGCTATATTTGCAGATAGTTCATTAAAATTTTCTTCTACATATTCCTATGCCTACTAAATTCTCTATTAGTGTTTCCACGTCAAGCTCTTAAAAAAAAACACCTGTTTTGCTTCACAATACTTCTGACAGTGCTTGTAATGCAAACATAAAAGACAAAGTAGCAGCATTTTGTAGGTAGAAATAAAATAATCTGATTCTTAGACACCCACCTTAATAATTTTCATCTTGTGCCTTGGGCTAGCTCTGTAAAATACTGCAACCTGTTAAAATACAGGAAATACTAAAAATCTTCAATATTAAGAAATATCAGACTAACCCATACACTCATAATAATGATATTTTTACTTTTCAATGTAAGCTCTATTTAATTTGCCACAGACATTAAGCTTAAGCAATATGCCATATGTTTGTTAAGACAATCATTTGACATGGTCGTTTCAACCTTTACCAAAGGAACCAAAGGGAATAATACATAATCCAAACAAGTCATTCAATTTATATCATTATGTGTAAACTCTGAAAAGATAACAGTCTATTCTTGAAATGTTCCAGAGACAGAAAAAGAAAAAATTCTCTTGCATCTGTTTCCTCATAACACCACATACAATTAAAATAGCCTCTTCCCTTTGTTCTGTCTTCAGGGAAGATAAAGAACAGCTGTTTCTCGATGTCTGTAGAGACTTATTTTTCACAGTGTCAAATGTCTGCTTATTCTCTTTTACTCAGGGTAATTTCATTAGTCTCTCTTCCACTGTACCTCCAAACTGCTCATATGATCTTATCTTTTCATCCCTTTTTATGACTCCATCGTCTGGTCTCCTAAAATCCTTACAATGTGCCCCACAGTCAGTCAGCAACAAAATTTCCTGTATCTTTGACTCTTTTTCTCCTTGCTCTAACCTAGTTGTTCTACAAAATACTGCCATCCCTATAGCCCTCTGAAATACTACCACCAGGGAAGCCTAAAAGTGGGGTATGTGTCCTCCATTCTACCTTCATAAATCTTCAGTTTTGAATGCCATGTGAAACTACACTTCCCATTAACTGTAGGCATTCACCGCTCCAGAGGCCATAACCCCTCATTTCACATCAATTTTAACTTCTGTCTCACTGTCACTCTAACAATACTTACAAGTCATGGTGATTTCAATAACCACCTAATAAACCATTCTCGTACCTACTCTCCTAGAGGATTAGTTCATATTAATTTTCTCTCTTCATACCTCCAACCTATTCCCTTTCTCCAGCCTCAATCTCAACTAACCACCTGTGTCCTACTTCAGAGAAAAAAGAATCTGAAGAGAATTTCTATAATTCCCACCTCCCAGTATCTGTATCCAGGCACTATCCTCCTCTCATTTTACCACAGATGAATCAAATATACTCCTATTGCAGGTCAAATACTCTCCCTTACCTATTTAAGATCATTAATCTATTACTCCAGAAATTTCCCCCCATATCAAAATTGTTTCCTTGCTACTGCATTTTTACCATCAGTATAGAAACATGTTGTTATTCCTTCCATTTAAAAAAGAATGAAAACTCCCCTTCCCCTCCCATTTCAGCTGTCACCCTACCTTTCTCTTTTTATTTTTTTATAGAAGGAAAAACAGCATGTTTGTATACTAGTGGTAAAGTGCAGCAGCAAGGAAAAAATACTGATACAGGAGAGGAGAGAATTTTTGGAGCAAAACTCTTAGAAAGTTGCCTCTACTTGCTGTCTACAATTCTCTCTGAATTCATCCCAATCAGGCTGTTACCACTACCACCCCTTCACTGAAACCACTATCCAGACTATCAAAGACCCTCACAACCATCACACTGCTAATGCAAACGGTGTCTGCTATTTCTGAAATAAATCCCCTTTTAAAAATGTAAATAAGTATCTTTAAAAATTTTTTCCAGAATTTTTTTCCAGAATTATGTTTCTGGGCTTTTAGACTTTAGAAATGTTGATCTTTTGGTATTTCGACATTCAGAATTAGGGTGTTCAGGGTTGTGTCTTTTGGGATTATGATATCCTCCCTCAAAAAACAGCATTCATGAGTAACTACAGTTCACGAAAGAAAAAACATGGATAAGCAAAAAAGTTCATTTCTACTAGTAACCACATCCAAAATCTAACTGCTTGCTAGAGGATGAGGAAAGTGGGGCTAGAGGTCTAGGGACTTAATGCTACTACTGTATGAAGCACAGTCTATGAAAATATAAACAGAAGCCTTTTCAGAGGACAATTCAGCAATACATGTTAAGAGCCTTACAAATCTGTTGATCATTGGAATCCAATTAATTCACATGTAGGAATTTAGTCTACAGAAATAATCAGAGATGGGCACAAAATCTTAGGTACAATAAATGTTGGCATGGATGCAGAGAGATAGGAACACTCATACACTGCTGGTGGGACTGCAAACTAGTGCAACCTCTGTGGAAAGCAATATGGAGATATCTTAAAGAGATACAAGTAGATCTACCATTTGATTCAGCAATCCCATTACTGGGCATCTACCCAAAAGAACAAAAGACATTCTATAAAAAAGACATCTGCATGCGAATGTTTATAGCGGCACAATTCACAATTGCAAAGATGTGGAAACAACCGAAGTGCCCATCCAATACATGAGTGGATTAATAAAATGTGGTATATGTAAACCATGGAGTACTACTCAGCTATAAGAAACAATGGTGATATAGCACCTCTTACATTTTCCTAGATAGAGCTGGAATCCATTCTACTAAGTGAAATACCCCAAGAATGGAAAAATAAGCACCACATATACTCACCATCAAATTGGTTTCACTGACCAACACCTAAGTGCACATATAGGAATAACATTTATCAGGCGTTGGGTAAAAAAAAAAAGAAATAAAAAGAAACAACAAATAGATGAACTTTGGAGTTACAAAGACCTGGGTTCCAGTCCAAATGCCACCAACTCACCAGCTCTGAGATATTGGCCAAGTCTCCTAAGAACTCTGGGCCTCAATTTCCTCATCCATAAAAATGGAATTGCCTAAGTTTCTTACAAAACTATACATACTCCTACCATATGATCTAATTCAGCAATTGTGCTTCTTGGTATTTCCCCAAATGAGCTGAAAACTTATATTTACTGTATAGACATGTTTATAGCAGGTTTATTTACAACTACCAAACCTGGAAGCAACCAAGATATCCCTCAAAAGGTAAAGTGTTAAAACAGTGGCACATTTATACAATGGAATATTATTTAGTGTTGCAAGAAATGAATTACCAACCCGGAAAAAGACATAATAGGACTTGTTTTACTACCGCTTAGTAAAAACAACCAGTCTTTAGAGACTATACATGGTATTCTTCCAACTATATGACATTCTGGAAAAGGCCAAACTGTAGACAGTAAAAATATCAGTAGTTGTCAGAGATTCAAGGGGAGGTGGGGAATATTATTTAGTGTTGCAAGAAATGAATTACCAACCCGGAAAAAGATATAATAGGACTTGTTTTACTACCGCTTAGTAAAAACAACCAGTCTTTAGAGACTATACATGGTATTCTTCCAACTATATGACATTCTGGAAAAGGCCAAACTGTAGACAGTAAAAATATCAGTAGTTGTCAGAGATTCAAGGGGAGGTGGGGAAAAATAGAAAAGTGGAACATGGGATTTTTAGGGGAATGAAACTACTCTGTATGAAATGTTTTGTCATTATGCATTTGTAAAAACCCCTATAAATGTATGACACACACACAAAAAAATCTTAACATAAACCATGAAATATATTAATGTATCAATACTGGTTCATTAACTACAATGAGTATACTACATTAATGCAGGATATTAATATGAGGGCAAACTGTGTAAAGAGTGGAGGATAGAGATGGGGCAGGTATGCAGAATTCTTTGTATTATCTGCTCAGTTAGCTGTAAATCTAACATTGTGCTAAAAAGTCTATTAATTATTAACATTTTAAAAATGGGATTGCCTATCTTTATAACGTGACTAGAAGGAGTAAATTAGATAATGTATGTAATACATACATTGTCTGGCATATGGTAAATGGTTGCTACTATTATTATCCTTAAAGTATTATTTACAGTAGTAAAAAATAAATGGAAGCTTCAATTTCATCAAGAAAATGGTTATATATCCACATATACACTGTGTGTTTATACACACATACACATGGTATACTCAAGCAAAATATTGTGCAGCCATCAAAAACATGTTTTCTAACTATAATGATTTCAGAAATGCCAAAGTTATGTAAAATGAATGTTCCAGATTATAACACTACGAAGTACCACCCAGGTTGTGTTGTTAAACACATCTTTTAAAAAGTCATAACGGGTTAACTTATCTTGGATGCTCTGCTGATGCACAACCTTTGAGTGTCTTGGTTGGATTGCTTGTAACTCTCACTTTTCTATATTTTTCAATTTTTCTATAATGAACATACATTTTTAATGTATAAATTTTCTAATCAGAAAGAAAGTATTATAGAAAGACAAGCCTTAGGTTAAGATATAACAAGAAATTCCATATACTTAATATATAACTTGAAGTTGTGAGTATAAAATAAATGAAGCAAAGGAGGAGGTAGTGCATTTTATTAATGACAATGGATGGCTAGAAAATGGGTAATCAAATGAATGCCAGATAAGCACTTATTTTGAAGGACATACAAATATATGTGCATATGTAGGTTAAGTAACAATGACACAAAGAAATCTGAACGATTTGGAAGAATGCTGTCCACCTCTTACAGGGCACTTCCTATGGAATTTATGTACCCACAAATCAGTCTTTTGTCATGGAATACTATTCGGTCATAAAAAAGAATAAAATCATGCCATTGGCAACAACATGGATGAAACTAGAAGCCATTATCTTAAGTGAAACAATTCAGACACAGAAAGACAAATATCGCATGTTCTCACTTCTATGTGGGAACACATAAAAAGTTTGAACACACGGAGCTAGAGAGTGAAAAGACAGGTAACAGAGTCAGTGAACGCTGAGTTGAGAGAGAAAGCAGGATGAAGAGAAGTGGGTTAAAAGGTATAAACATATATAAGCTAAAAGGAATAAATTCAATGTCTGGTAGCAGAGTAGGATGACTATACTTAAAAATGTATCGTACTTCGGTGATGAACACCCTAAATATCCTGACTTGATCACTATGCATTATATACACGTAACAAAATTTTTCATGTACCCCATAAATTTGTACAAATAAAAAATAAAAATGAAATAAAAGAATAAGGCCTTTCAGTCTAAAAGGCTTTAGTCTAGGCCTACCTTTGGTACTATTTGTGAAAGCTGCTGGACATCCATTGTATCTATTTCTTCTCCTGAGACTGACTGGGAAGTTTTAGAATATAATCCCAGACGACTGGCTGAAGTGAAGAGAGAAAATGAAATTAACCAAATTGTTTTTGCTTGATGGGCTAGTCAACATAATGCTCATTTACTATGATTTACTAATCTACTCTCTTTCTCTTAAAATATAAAATGTAAAGACATTTTATCATATCCAGGAACCACAGGACCAACTACTTGTAAGATAAATCTATCTGAATAAATCCAGGATTTTCTATTTGACGATTTTATTGTTATTTAAATTTAAGAATAGAGTTTTCACTATCCAAGCCAGCATACCTAAGAACTGAAACTAGGCCAATCAGGTTCTTCTCAATGGGTCAATTTTAAGGAAGATTAGAGTGTATTTTAAGTACGGTATCCAAAGCCAGACAAAATGGTAGTGGATCTGTGGTAATCATGTAGCTGTATGTAAATCTAAGTAAACACTGAAAAGTTATTCTCCTAAAAGTATTGTTTCTAGCGACCTTTTCTTAGATAAAGTCTGAAAATCCTGGCCCGGCCCCTCTCCAAATTAATAAAATAAGAATTAATAGAGTTTAGCAAATTGTTAAATTTATCACTACGAATTATAGTTCATAAGCTCTGGGAGATCAACTTTCATTCTCTTTTTTACTCCTGATACTGTACTTACGATACCCTTAAATATCATTCAGACAACATAGGTATATGTATATGTGTGTGTGTACATATATATAAAAGAAAACAGAAATACATATAACAAGCTGTTTTCTTCCAAATTATGTACAAGTCTGCTTTGAAAATTAAAAAGTTGAAAGGAAAAACAAAATTTCATATTTCCTTTCATATTCATGATCTAGTGCTTTTATCTTCAGCATAGTGCATTATGAAGTTAAAAATAATTACCCTTCCCTGTATAAAATATACAGGTGATTTCATGATTATGTATTCTGATTAACAGTATTACTTTTTAAACTTTAATAATCAATTTTTGCCCACAATTTTATACCAAAAACAAAGGAAGCAGTTTAGTTATACCAATTGCAATCGCAGTCTCCTGTGAATCTCCAGTAATCATTTTTATCGATACTCCTGAGGCAATGAGTGTTGTAACAGCTTCTTTCACACCAGTTCTAGGAGGATCAATGATTCCCACCAAGCCAAGAAATGTCAGCTGTCCCAGTTCAGGACCAGAAGCCAAAGCAAGAACTTAGGAAACAATATAATCCAAAAAAGAAAATGTGAGCCACAGAAACATTAGAATTTAGTTGATAAATATGGAAATGGTATCACTTCTCAAATAAGTCACTTTCAGACTACCGTGTCATTTGTGGTTATTATACAATCTTTAAAAATCAAAATTATCACATGCCAAGAGATTGCAGTTTCATGGTTCTGGATAGGGGGATGCTTTAAGCTATTCAAAACTGAAAAGAATAAAACTAAAGAACTGTTAGGCAGAAAAAGCAAGTGAGGGAGAATGAAGAATGTTTTCACATAGCAACCACATGCAGCTACTTTCAATAGAAACTACTGTCTCTTTAGAAAATACTATTAATTATTTAGAGAAACTATGGTTTTGTCAAGCTTTAAAGTCAATTTTAAACAGACACCTTTGAAGGTGGCTTCTAATGTATCTTCATCTTTCCATTTCATAGGTCTCCAGAAAAATTCAATAGCCTGAAGAGAAGGCTATATTAATTAATTATACACAGCCTAGAACAATTTCATACATGACAAACTCTGGAAGGTAAAGTTAACCTGGAAAGTGGTTGTAAAACCATTAATACCAACAACAGTTCGTTTTCTTTCACTCTTTCCATAACATCAACAGACATTTCTTATTTTGATTTGATTCTCTAAGAATATATAAATACCACACCGTATTATTATTTATAGTTAGTTTCCTATCATTTGTGAGCACTTAAGATATAACAAAAAGAGTTGTTCATTTCCCAAATTTAGCTTACTCTCAGAATTCTGGAACCTCTGGTTAACTACCTTTATTAACCAAAGGGATGTGCCTGCATCTGGGATATTATTAAACTAAACAACACACAAAACACACACATACACGCACACGAGCAAACTAAACAAAAATACTTCAAGGGGAGACTGAAAAGTCCCAGAGAGATCAAAGGAAGCATCTATTCTTGTTCAAACAGAAGGTACAGAAGATTAGATGTACTTGAAACACCAAGGTTAAAGGCAAGTAACTTTTATTTCTCCAATGTTGAGAGTCATATATCTAACTATTTATGTAGATGTAGGCCCCAAAGGCTTTCACTATTGAGAGAATGAGCCACTTGACAGTCTCTGGTGCTGGGACAGAGACAGAAAGCAACAGAAGGGTAAAGTGAATACCATCTTGTGTGTCAGAAAATACTAAGAAAAAAGATCAGCCCTGGATACTCCCAACGGAGGACGGCACTAGCCTGGAGGTTAGTAGCCTGTATTTATTTGCTTCTTTAACACAAATGAAAATCTACTACTCCTCTTTGAGTCAAAGATAGGTAAACTTTCTGTGTGTGAAAGGCTCCTGACCTAAAACAATATACAGTCTAATTTCAAAATTAAGAACCATAAGTATTTTCAGAAAATTAACTTTTACAAGATACAACATTAAGTACATATCAACAGAAATTTAAAATCTTTCTTTTCTTCATTATGGTAATCTCAGTGAGGGGGGAGTGGAGAACAAAGAGAGAAAGAAGAGACATGAAGCAAGAGACAAATGACCAGACTGTTTCCCCACACCCTATGAACAAATATTTTGTCTTCGACCAATTCTGGTCTGCTTCACAACGTTAGAACACAAAACACCACATACACAAACCTCCACAATCCTTCAGGTGAAAAGAGTTAGTCAAAATAAAGAAGTGTAAAAACTTTGTTCCAAAAACTAAGAAAAACAGGGTGCACATACCAGACCTTTAAGACCTCTTTCAGGTCTTTAAATCCATGTCAACTTTGAAACTTCCTGCTGAGTGCTGCTGAGAGTAACAAAACTCTGCTTTTTTGTTGTTTTTTTTTTTTCAACTATTTCAATGTTTTACGAACAGTTGGAAACAAACCCAACAAACTGGAAGTGATGACATCCCAGAAGCTCAAAAGGGGAGGGAAACAGGTTTGCATTCTGTCGTCTGACAAGCTTTTTAAAAAAAAATTAAGTGCATCTTAGCAAAAGTAGATTAAAAGAGAAAGGGTCAAAGCCCCAGATGTCAGCAAGCAGAGAGAAGGAGGTAACCCAGGGGAGCAACAGGCCCCTGTAACACAGTCTTCCCAGGAATAGTTCCAAGGAGCTGCCATTGCTCCTTAACACACAGGCCCTACCAAGCAAAACCCTCTTTCCTGGCTGCAAGGCATCCCTGCAGTTGCCCTCCTGTCTGCTAAGCTCCCCCTTGCTCTAACAGCTATAATTCTGGGCCAAGCCTCACTAGCGTCATTCTCTTTCTCTAGATGGGGTGTGAATCTGAATGGGGTGCAAGGGCATCAAAAGTATTACTCTGGACCAAAGTATCTAAGCTTCCTGAAGCTGGAGCCACCAGTTTCGTCTGCCCACTGTTCAGTAGGGAGTGGGGGTACAATGTGTTGGGGGGCACTCCCTGTGCCCACTTCCCCAGAATGTCCAGTTAGCATTTGTACATTTGGCTTGATAAATCTGTTAAAATTCTGTGGTCTCAGAGTTACTGCTACTCTTATGCCTGGCCCAGCTCAACCAGAGAAGAGGTTCCTTCTCCCCAGAATTGATGCTGGGAGAGAGAATCTTCCTTGGCTTAAAGGGTCCAAAGGTATGAGGTCTGAGGTGAGGTTCAGGAGCATGTTCAAGATTCAGGCCTGTGGGAAAAAGCCCCAGAAACTCTGGAACCTGACATCAAAGCCTCTTACATTATAAAGAAAAAAGGGGGAAGAGTTATTTTTCTTTAAAACAATCATTTTAATACAAAAATAGAACCATTTGCAAAACAATTTCTCAGCCAGCAGCTCCATGTCCCATTTCCTTGGAAACAGAGGGTGAGGTGTTAAGATGATCATAATACGGCCCATACCTCAGATGAGCTACACCAAACTCTGGGGAGGCATGCAGAGTGACCTTGGCTCAGGAGCCTGGGGGCTGGCGCAGAGGGTCCAGAGAGGCAAGGACATAAAGTAAGGCATCAGGCTGTGGGTAGTATTCTCTATCAAGAAAAATAACTTTCCAAACTTAGAAAAACAAGTTATGTGAAAAATTTTCTTATTTGTGCTTCACTCAAACAAGGGCTTTCTTTAGGTTTAAAAAACATTTGAATAGATTTGCAGACTTCTGTTCTTATAATAATCTTTCTCCCAGAAACTGTAGTGCTTAGACTTCTGTTTCATAAATAACATTAAGGAAGTCAACTCTTCCAATTTCCTTGAGAGACTATGTAACTACATATATTCATCACAAGCCAGATGATCATTTAGAAGGTAAGAATGAGGTATGGCCCCAAACCCTGCCCCTCCAATCCTATACATGACATCCCTAGGAGAGGTGGCCTGATTGTGCAAGCCCAGCAGACCCTCTCCCCACTGGCGTGTGCTCAGCAGCAAATACGTAAGCAGTATCTGGGCACTTCTTTCTTTATCCCCCTAGCGAAGGGCTAAGAAGAGAGACAGCAGATGAGGATCCAGTTAGCAATCACCTCAACGGACAAATTAGAGGCTTCAGAATTCGATTTTTAGGAAGTATTTTAATTCTATTAACAAATAAGACAAAGTAACAAAATAAGAGTAACATTATTTTACTTTAATCCATCTCCCTTCTTATAAACTTGTTTAAAATAAAATTTCTATTTCCTACTCAGAGACCAGTAGGTCTGAAAGAACCAGAGATTTCATATTTTGCTACATTCTCAAATTTCTATCTTTTGGGGGTCAGTTTGCCAACGAAAACATAACACTTCAGAAATGGCAAGGGTTCTACAAAGCCTGGAATAGAGTTGAACAGCTCAGATTTGAAGCATGAATTCATATGAAATTAAAAGAGGGTTCTACTGTTCCACCCTAGGGGACTATGCTGAAATGGCCTTACCTCTGAGTCCGGCTAAGCCCATACGTGCCTTCTCTTGTTGGTACACATCTCTCTGCTGCTGGGTAAGTGACAAAGTTTGCCCTTTGCTGTGGTATGTAGTACAGTACTTAATCACCTGTTCATAAGCACCCTTCATAAAACAAACCTCTGGTCTGTCCTAAGAAGAAACATATGAAATACAAGTTTAATTTCGACTTGTACATATCTGCCACTGGAGTCCAAAAACAAGTGGCATGTGTTTCTCCTAATTCCCAGGGAAGTTATTTGAACCTAAGGCTTTGAGTGGCACTTGAACTCCAAAGATTAAAAATTCCTATGAGCTTTCTGTACCTTCTATAGGAAACAACATCTGCCCCCACCATCCCCTCATTGAAGGCAATATTATAATAAGCTCCTAAATTAGGCACTCTGAAATTTTGGGAGAGGCTCATCACAACAGGAAAAAGAAAGAGAGCTAACATCAGCCCACAATTGTTCAGGATCTATATTAGCTGTTATATGTACATCTATACATCTATCTATGATCCCATTTGATTCTTGCAACCACCTTGTAATTATGGGTATTAGGCTTTATTTTTTATGACAGTAAAGGTAATATTCAAAAGCTTATAATGAAAAACCAGTTTCCTGCCCAACCCTTCTCACCATTAGTCCTACTCCACACAGGCAAACCAATTCTAACTTTTTTAGCTAGATTTTTTTTGGTATTTACCCCCATGTTTTTAACATGTTTATATTGCCACTCCCTCAGTAACCAATTTTATACACTGTCTATTGTGACAGATATTAATTTGGCCACCCTATCTATTGCCCCCGTCCCCATCTGTATGATACGGTTAAAGCAAAATTTAGCAATATTCCATTTACAAGATGACTCCTCACTCCTGAGCCAAATGTGGTAATGACTACAGCAGTTCACAAACACCCTAGTTCTCTTTGAAGGTAAAAATGGATTTCCCTGTCATCTCCCTCACCCTTGAAGTCAGGTGTGACTTACTTGGGCCAATAAATATAAGAAGTACTTGTGTCACTTCTAAATGGAAATCTAGGGACCCGTGCATGCTTTGCTATTCCTCTACCCCTGCTGTGACAGTGTGTGCTTACATTGAGATACAGCTTCCATCTGCCTGGGCTTGGGGGTAGGGAGGCAACAGGGGGGCACAGTGTTATTTTCACCACCTATCCTGACTGAAAGATCAAATAGGATATTTATTTTCCTGTTCAAGTTTTGTCTTTTATAAAGTTAATAACCACTTTTTTTATTTGCTTAGTTTTCTTTACACCTATCATTCATTCTTCCTGAACTCTTCAATGTAACGTAAAACCCTTCTCATGATATTTTTCACATGATCGAATGAGCAGGCAAGCTATTATTTCTATACCTTCACTAGTGACTCCTCTCCTTCACTCTTCTTTCCTTTTCTTGAGGTGGCTGATTTCTAGGCCTGCTGTACTACTTGTATCCAGGAACTTCCCTTTACTTCTATCCTCACTGGATTCTAAGTCTTGCTGTTCTTTATTATCCACCAGTATCTTTCTAAGAAACAGTATATGGTATGGGACATTATTTTACTCTATCTTCACATTCATAAGTTTAGCTGGAAATAAATTTCCTCTCATTTTGAAGGCTTTGCTCTATTAAATTCCAGCCTCTAGTGTCCAGTGTTACAGCTTAAAAGTATAAAGAAACTACAGTAGCCCCCCCACTACCACCACCCTGCCCCTTATCCAATTTCACTTCCCACAGTTTCAGTTACCTACAGTCCATTGTGGTACAAAAATACTAAATAGAAAATTCCAAACAAACAATTCAGAAGTTTCAAATTACACATCATTCTGAATAGTGTGATAAAATCTCACACCATCCACTCTGCCCCACCCAGAATGTGAATTATCCCTTTGTCCAGCATATCCAAGCTGTATAGGCTACACATCCATTAGTCACTTAGTAGCCATCTGTGTTATCAGACAAAAAAAATAACCACATAGTTTATACAGAGTTCAATACTATCCATGGTTTCAGGCATCCATCCAGGGGACTACTGTACTTTAATTCCTAAACATTTTTACATGATCTTTTCTCCCACCCCAAAAATCTATGGAAGCTTTTCAAATTCTCACTCTCCAAGTGTCCTCAAATTTCTTAATAAGGGGTCTTATGCTTATTCCCTCACTCTACCCCCACCCATAACAAACGTATTGTGTTCTCTTCCTATTACCACTATTAGGTGGATGTTGGATCCCCTGTATTTATTTTCTGATTTTCTTACCTTATCTCTTACGCTGTACACCTCTTGACTTCCTGTTCTACTTTGATAGGTTCCTTAACTTTATCTGATAAATGTTCTGTTTAAAGTATTTTTTTTGTCATTTTTTATGGTCTTTGAAAATTTTCTTCAGCATCTAGCATTTACCTTTGTTTCTCTGAGACCTATTTCTCTGTTGGTTTGGTTTGAGACTTTCATACTAAAGACTTTCCCCAAGTATCTAGTAATCCCTGACTGTCCATTTACATTCAAGAGTAAAGCAAATAAAGATTAGAAGCTCTACGGACACTGGCAGAGCTATTCAACTGGTACACCTCACAGAGAGAAAGCCCAGAAGTAGGTAAGTGCTTCCAAAGAACACAGACATTGGTTAGGGGTGCCCTTTACTGTGGGAACCTCCCCAGGACCAGATAGCTTTTCTAAAACTCTTCAATCTTCTGATTTAGGGAATGAGGGTATAGAGATGCCTGTCTACATGCATTCTAAGAGACAAATGGAGTTAAGGACTGGAGGCTTCCCCTTCAGGACAATGACATCCCCTTAATCACTGTTTTCAGTCTTAAGCCTTAATCCTGCCCCCTCCGCCCTTATCCCCAAGGTCACATTTCTGATATTCCACAGGAATAAAGGTCTGGCCTAAAGAAGCAGCAAAAGTACTTTGGAAAGTTCTGTCGGTTCCTTATTCAGAATTTCAACCTTCTCTACTATTTTTAGCCTTATTCCCTGTCTTCAAAGGTACCTGACATTGAGCCTTTTCTATACTTTGAGTTTGTATCTTTTATTCCTTGTTTGTGATTCTGGTAAGTTCCAGAGAGAGAAAAGAGATAAATGTATATTGTCCTGTTTAAATGAAAGTCCTCTAAAAACAAACTATTTGAGCCACTGGAGTTATTTTTAAATTGGGAAGTTTCCCCTATCTATGTCTTCTAGATCCTGAGTCACATCTGTGGGTTTGGGGTTGTTAATTTCATTGGTTGGTTTGTTTTCTAAAAGGAACTCTTCAGGTCGACAAATAGGAAGAAGAATCAAATGACTCCAAACTTATATCCTGCCACTCCCTGTCCTCCACAACCACTACTGCAAAGCTTCATCTATCAGTGTAAAACTTTGGTGAGATTAGATTCAAAATGATTGAAAAGTAAAATTATTAAACATTACATGAGCCATGTTATCTTGAAGTACCGTGTGATGGTTTATAAGCTGCAGCAAAACAGGCCCATCAAAAAAGTCATATACATATTCTTGCCATATAACTATGAGGTCAAGGGACACAGCTAGTCAAGGGTTACCCAAGTCTAACGTAATTTTTGAAAGCTTTATATTACAAGGTTTAAAGTGACCGGCATTTTATTTTTATAGTTTTATTTCCAATTGTCTTCTTTTCTAGGAGTTTGTAAAAGTGCCTTTAAAGAACAGACAAATATTTTTTTGGCCCTCATATATGGGGTTCCTGGAAGACTTCTATTCACAAGTTCAATGTTAGACAAGTTGGCCTTTCTTTTAAAACCAATACATTTTCTACTTATTATGGGTGGAGGGAATTCTTTCACCCACTCCTGTCTACAGAGATGTAACTGGTTTCAAAGTGTTTGCTCACAGATGAAAACATAAAACCAATTATTAATTACTGTTAAAAGAAGCATAAACAACAAATACAGTTTTTAAGGACAAAGTTTAAGTATCAAGCCAGTAATAGCAACTATGGGTGATATGATTATACACTGTACTCTTATTATACTAACTGTGTAAAAATTTCTTAAGCACCCAGGAATAAGGTGGTAGCTTGAAATATCAGTGCATGTCATTTTGTCAGTTTGTAAACTGGATCAATGAACATAAATTATACATATTTGGAACCACTTTTCCACAAAGTAATGTGGTTTTGTTTGTTCTGGAGGTATTTCTTCAGTGAAAGAACACAAATTAGAACGCAAAGTCAGCAGATACCTATAACGAACCAAGAACAAAAAAACATGTTGAGAAAACCAGATGTCACAAGCTCCAGAAGACGGAGACCAGGCTATAATTCATTTAAATTATTTGTTCACACAGCAAAACCAAATATATCTATGCATGAATTCTATAAAGTATATCAAAGAGAACATAGAACAAGAGATGAGTGTACTATTAATTATACATAATTTAAAGCAACAGGTCTTTATTATGTACAATGATTACTTAAAACTAAAAGTGGATAGTAAGTGAAAAAATAGTCATCTAAGCTGAACAGGATGTAAGTATAAGTAAACAAATGGATACCTGCTGTGTTCGGTGTACACACTTAACAGCCATCCACTTTTGCTCAGAGCTAAAAGGGTATTCAGCTTTTCTGATATAGTCCTGTTGAAGTCCATCAAGACCCATCTATATGTTACAAAAAGAAAAGTTATTTCTCACCAATATGTGACTATTTTTTCCTTTAACAAAGAACAAGGGTCACAACTTAGTTTGGCTAGAGATATTTGAATTATTTTTCAAATAATGGTGACAGAATAGCAATGTTCCATCTATATATAACTATACCTCCCTGAATAGCAAAATGAAAGCCTGGGTGTGTAGGTAATAGACTTAAGGCATGTTATCTGCATTGCATGTAGACCAATCTTCAACATTGACTATATTAAACTCTTTACTGGCTCAAATTCTGGAAGGGGGCAGGATTACAAATTTTTAAAAAGTGCCAGATCAATACTGAGCATGTACTTTTATAATCAAGATACACGCAGATTCAATCCACCATTTCTTAGGGACTCAAAATTGTCTCACCTGTTGCTATCATCCTAGTCCCTTACCCTCTACCACTTTATATCCTGACTACTACCAACATCACGTAGCTGTTTTCCCTCCCAAAAGCCTTTGAATATTTTTCCAAATATCAAAAAATATTTTTAACCTACTCAAAAGTCTAGCTTATTACTTTCTGTTTTCTATTAAAAAATGTTCAGGCTCTTCTCGGCTTTTGAAGGTCCTCCAGAAACCCACCATACACAGCCTATTTAACAATCTTCCTGGTTACTCAAAAACCTTTCATTTCATCCAGGTTAGCCAACTCATTAGCCATAACCCATTCTAAGCTTATTTATTCCTCTCTGCTTCTACTCTAGCTCTTTCCCTAGTCATCTAAACCTTCCTACCCTTCAAAGCCCCAGCTACCAGCTGAGAATTTTCAGTTCTTATATGTGGCTCAATGTTTACGATTTAACTGTCCACTGTCTCAGGCTGCCTTTTGTTTGTTCCAGGAATGTCAGTATTAACTTCCTACCTAAAACGTGAGGTCTCTGCCCAAAAGGAGGTAGTTTCACACCTTTCTCTCTCAAAGAAGCAAGTATCTTCTTAAGCACAGCACAAGAAATAGTTGATAACTGATTTGTATTTTTAATATCTTTTAAAAAGTTATACTGTGCTATTTTAATTACAAAGAGACCCAAAGATAAGGAAATGGAGCCTTCTGCCAAGGAAATATATACATTCTAAAAATAGAACAAAACATACACATTCTATCAATTTTATTAAATCAAATATGTTATAATAACCTACAATTCTATATTAGCTTGCATTTCAAGCAACCTCACTTAGAAGCATCCTGCTTCACACAAGTCTCTATTTTCTCAGACTACTCTTACAAGTAGTAGTTTTTTTTTGTTACGGGTGTGACAAACTAGACTTTTAGGTTTCTCACCGAATCAAATGTACAATTTAGGAGATAAGGAGATCACCTGGGACAGATGAAAAGGTCACTGAGAACAACACCTCCTCTTCCCAACAAAAATTATAACTCTACAGTCTTTTTGAGAAATTGAGGCTAGATGCAGTGGCTCATGCCTGTAACCCCAACACTTTGAGAGGACAAGTTGAGAGGATCACTTAAGCCCAGGGGTTCAAGACCAGCCAGGGCAATATAGCAACACCCCTGCCTCTACAAAAAATAAAAGAAAAGGAGAGAAACTGACAAAGGAGGGAAAGGGAAAACTAGGAAAAGAAAAGCTAATTTCTCATGACTGTTAGTATTATATCTTTTCAAGGAAAGACTAAAAAATACTGCCTTTTACTCATTCAAAAGTTAGTATTTTCAGCAATTATACACATTTGGGCTTTTCACACATAGATCCGTATTATGAAAGACAGAAATATTTCTTCTTAAGAAAAAATCCGTGACTGCTCATTAGTTTATACCTTGCATAAGAAATGAGGTTATGCTGAAAAGGTCCTATGCTCTATATTTACAGGAATAAAACTGGTTCCCGGAAGACAGTAAAAATAATAAAATATTGTGAGTCTTCTTCACTCAATACCTAAAAATAAGTAATACTGAAATTGTTGGCCTCTCATTCTATTGTGAGGGTAATGTCTCATATGTCAAAGATCAGGTACATACCTTCATTGCAAGAGCAATTAAGGCCCCTTCGGTTGGCTTCCCCATTAAAGTGTCGTTTCTAATTACGGCATCATTGCACACACAGCCCGCCTAAGAAAAATACATATAAATTATGAAGCCATCACTGTGTCTTAAGTCATTATGAAGAAAGTCATCTTCCTGGAAAATATTTACCTCAACAATTCTGCTAACATCTGCATTATAGAATCCATGAACAACATCACCATCAACAATCACTTCCCCAAACTGATTATAGCCAACTCCAGTAACCTAAAGAACATAAAGTGGAATCAATAATACGAACAGTAGGCAATGACAAGACTTAGGAGAACCAAAAACTATGATGAGTTATGTTTATTTCATTTCATATATCATGACATTGTTAAAGTGTACACCTAGAAAAGCATTAAAATTTGTCTTAAAAGGGACATTTAATAGTTAAAGGAATATAGATTCTAATTTTCATGATAATTAACCTAAAAAGATATTGTCTTCCACTTATGATATACTATTAAAAGGATAAATACACCATAAAAATCTCTATACACAAGTGAGCTTAAATTTACATAACATTACACTTATATTGCATACTACAGGGTTTGCAAAGAACTCAAATCCATTACCACATCTAATATTTGACACACACCTGTGATCTAGACAAAAGCAGACTTCTTTTTGCAAATATGCAGGCTCAGAGACAAGAGATTTACCCTAGTACTTGCAAACTACTTTAACACAGCATATTATATACTGATTTTAAAAATCAGGTAGAGACAAACCAGATACTTATTCTATATGGCTGGAACAAACCAAGCCAAACAAAAGTAAATTTCAAAAGACAGGGAAGGCGGTGCAGGCTGTATGGTGCTCCATGGTGTCCCCCCCACAAAAAAAAAAAGTAAATTTCATAATAAAAATAACACAGTTTAGAGAGAAAATAACAAATGGCTAATGCTTGACATATAAAATGATGAACTTAAAACAAAAGAAAAACTAATATCCTATCTTCCATACTTGGATCATATAAGCACACGTAACCCCAATAACCCTTCTGAGTCATCCAGAAAGAGCACATTCACCAACGTAGCATTGGGTATCCTTGAGCAAACCTAATACCTACTCTAAATATCAACAGTCACATTTTAAGGCCTATGTAAAATGGACCTAAATAGACTCAACTACAACTTCTGTCAATCTGTCTAATGCTTACTTTGCTCAGTGAATTAGCTGTAAATACATTAAAAAATATTATACCCATCATAAGCAGTGTTAAGAGCATTCCAGTCACAAATACTGCAAAGACTGGCTGGGATTGGAACTTGTCTACAATCAGCTTTAGGAAGAACCATTGCATAGTATGAGCACTTAAGAAACTGTCAATATATAATTTTTAAAATAAAGTCATTCATTCATTCAACAAGTACTTATTATACTATGAGGTAGGCTCTGTGCTAGGCAACATAGTTCCTACTTACTTATAAATTGTGGTATAATGGGAAAAAGGGATAGAAAATTCCACTTGGGATAAAGACCAAGAGATATGGAATGCTAAGAAAATACATAGGGCCAATTCTGAATGGTCAGAAAAGCTTTTCTGAAGAAGTGGGGCTGGAACTGAGGTACAAAGGATGAAGCAGCATTAGAGTACCCTGGAGTGAGAAGAGCGGAAAGGTCCTGAAGTAGGAGGAATTTTGTCAAATTGAAAGAAGTATAAAGCCAGTATATTTGGTGCACAGAAAACAAAGAGGAGCATATCAGGCTGGAGAGGGAAATAAGAGACAGAATATGTAGGGCCTTGAGAGGCCACAGTTCAGAATCCTAGTCACAGTGGAAAGCCATTGAAGTATCTTAATTTAGGGAGTGATATGCTCAAAATCTGGTTCTAAAAAGATCCCTCAAGCTGCATACAGAGGGCATCAGGAATGGATAGTGAAGAGGCTATATCAGAAGGGCAGGTGAGAGATGATGGTAACTTAGACTAAGAAAGCTGGCTGTAAAATAGATGCCTAGGGAAGTTACTTAGGTCAAAATTGGCAGGATTTGATGATGGATGGATGAGAGGTAATTGAAAGAGGGGTGTCGAGGAGAAATCCAAGTTTCTGGATTGAACAAGTATACAAGTGGAATGAGACAACGACTTTATAGAATCACACAGGAAGGAAATAACAGCTAATTTATAGCCCTTTTGAAGGTTAAGACATTGGAATTGTTAGGAATGTTAAACACCAAGTTTCTTAACTGTTGTTTAAAAACATATAGAATACCTCAGCACGCTGACCATCTGAAGTAAATATATGAGTAACAGTCATCTCATTCTTCGTCAGTGTTCCAGTTTTATCTGAACAAATCACATTACAGCAGCCTGAAGAATAAATCGTTACATGTCACCAACAGAACCAGGAAGAAATACAGGTTCACACAGAAAACAAATCAAAGACTCTAGAATCCTGTCCTGCTTCTCTGAATTTTTTAGAGATCAAGCTCATTGGTAATTTTAGGTTAATTTCTCTCATTATGCTTGCTTCATGATAAGGTAAAGTTTCTGAAATTAAAAATAAAAATTACATATTGACTTCTTCCTATTTATTTACTTACAGTTAGTTTCTACAAAGCTACTCCATATTAACTTTATATAACGATTTTATAAAATATGTTTTCTAGAAGTTGGATAGATTTCTAAATATAAACCCACATGATTTCTCTAGTCAGGATTTCTCAAGGTATTTCACCTTCTCAATATGAAAATGCAAACTGGAAATTAAATTCAGTACATTTTTAGATATCCTAAATTTAAAAAAAAGTTTTTCAGTATATTACACATAAAGATACAACAATATAATCACTTTATATTTACTGTTTTTATAAGCAAATTTCACTCAAGTATGGCATTTTGAGATCTGTAATAATCAATTACCTTTCTTGACACATCAAAAGAAAAAAAATTCTATTAATTTTACTTCACGGTTTCATTTGCTATATGGATTTTTATCTTCCCAGGATTTGAGCATTAGAACATTCCATGCTACAGAAAGATTTTTCTTAAAGTCCCCTCTCCTGAGAGACATAAATTTTTCACTGGCTTTTTTGGTAGGTAAAACCATACCCAATATTACCCTAAGTCAAATATCAGTATGCAAATCTCTAGAACAAAAATTGCAAAGCCCAAAGATGATCCACCGTTGACATGAACTAACACTGCATTGCATCTAACTCTTAACACATACTTACCCAGAGTTTCAACAATAGGTAGTTTTTTCACAATGGCCCTTTTCTTCACCATTCTCATAACACCAAGGGCTAGTGTCACTGTGACCACAATGGGAAGACCTTCAGGAATTGCTGCTACAGCCAAACTATGACCAATACATATATGCACATAGCATTAAAACGCAAGTTAAATAATACCCACAGCAATACTCTGAATTCAATATTACTTAAAATAAAAGACTTTAATAAAATACAAAATTAATACTGTCAACACCTAAAATATGGACTTCTTGAAAGGAAAGTTGATTAACATTTACTAGACATCTACTAGCTGCCAGGGTAAGCAGTGGTTAAGAATATAGGTTCTCACATCAAATTGCCTGGATTTGTATCCCTGGTTTCACCAACTTTTACTTGTGTGACCCTGGGCTACTCATTAAGCCATCTCTCTAGTTTATGTTCTTCATTGGTAAAATATGATAACAGCAGATGTTCAAACAAAAACTTGTACATGAATGTTCACGGCAGCATTATTCACGATATCCAAATAGGCCAAAAAATATCCATCAACTGGTGAATATAAAATTGTGATAGCCACACAATGGAATTCAGCCACAAAAAAGAACAAAGTACTAATTCCCGATACTGACATGGATGAACCTTGACAACATTATGCTAACTGAAAAAAGCCAAACACAAAAGGCCCCATATTGTATCATTCAACTTACATGGAATATCAGAATAGGTAAACTCATACAGATAGAAGCAGATTAATGGTTGCCAGGGAAGGGCAGAATGGGGAGAATGGGGAGTGATTGTTTAATGTGCTCAGGCTTTTCATTTGGGGTGATGAAAAAGTTTTGGGGGATAGATAGTGGTGACAGTTCTAAAACATTGTAAATATACTTAACTCCACCAAATTGCATACTTCAAAACAGTAAATTGTATATGTTTATTTTATTACAATTTTAAAATTTAGCTGGGCATGGTGGCTCACACCCGTAATCCCAGCACTTTGGGAGGCTGGGGCTGGAGGATCACTTGAGGTCAGAAGTTCAAGACCAGCCTGGGCAACACAGCAAGACCCTATCACTACAAAAAATAAGAAAAATTAGCTAGGCATGGTGGTGTGCACCTGTAGTCCCAGCTACAGAAGGATGGCTTGAGCCGAGGAGTTCAAGGCTGCAATGAGCTGTGATTGTGCCACTGCACTCCATCCTAGGCAACAGAGCAAGATCCCACCTCTTAAAAAAATAAATAAATAATTATTTTACTCTTTCCCTTTGTAATTGAAAAAAAAACTAAGTCAAGTCTTTTTTTGGTGCCATTCTAAATATTATCTCTTTACTATGCTACAGTTAAGAACACAAGCACTCCTATCCTTCACTCTACCACTGTTCTCTCTGCTGCTTCTACTCCCTAATTTCTATTACTTTTTCTTTACCATGATTTAATATCATTAACATCCTTTCCTATAATAATTAACCTTTTCATGCTGTGTTTACAGGTTGATTCTAAAGGCTGAAAGCAAATGAACAACATTTACAATACTTCTGGCCCAACAGTGTACACTGAAGAGTTAAGAAATATGTACCATCACAATTAAATGTTGGTAAACAAGCATCATAAAAGATGAATACTGTCATACATTCTTTCAGCAAAAATGGATGGTCCAGATACTTGTTGGAAAACATTGCATGATAAAGTCCTTGCTACAGAATGACTGACTGAAAGATAACCCCTGTTTCTTTATTGTCCTTAGAAATATACTGTTCACTCATCAATTCAGGAGTTTGTGAAAATCCTGAATTGTGAAAAGCCTGAGCACATTAAGCAGTCAGTCCTGAGTATCACCATCTAAAGACTCACAATCTTGAGATTTCACTTATATGATTAATTTTACTCACTTCACTACAGCCTATACTGCTTCTCTTTGGCTTTTTACATTCATCTTCTGATTTGTCTAATAATTGTGGAAAGTCTTCTCTGTCAGTTATTCCTTTGTATTATACAAAGTAAAAAATTCTGAATTCTCACTTTTGTTCAATGAATGCTACAAAAACAAAAAAAATCTACAAAGACTGTGTCTCCAGATTTCTTTTATACCTTCTTAAATGATGACGCAGTACTTTGGGCAACACAATAGGAAAACTAAAGAGTAACAGAATAGTGATAATTTATTTTATCACATCAATCTTCTCGCTGATTCCATCATTCTTCTGCTTTCTTACTGTTTTAGTCACTTTTAGCACCACTAGAAATAATTTGAAAAGAATTCCTAGGGTGATGAAACTGCAAAATATTTCAGAAATTTAAAAAATAAGATCACTAAAGATCCCCTAATGCATCTTAAATTTATAAAAGAATCCAATGGACACATACAGTAATAACAAAACAGAATGAGTTTTACTCTATTTTAAAAATTTTAAATTTCTTCTCCATTGGAAGACCTTGAAAAGTAAAAGTCCTGGTATGTCAGTCTGTACAAATAGTTAGAAATGCCCCTCCTCTCAAAAAATTCCTCGGAAACCATAACTGGGTCTAAAAGATAGTAAGTCAATGGTTAGTATCTCAAACTCCCACCCCACTTTCAATTTATTTCCTATTTAACCCACAGCTTTTTTATACAGATTTAAACCAAGAGTTTCAAATTGCATTTTCACCCCTTTGAGTGAAAACTACATTCCTTCACTATATCACAAATACCTTTTTACTTCTTATTCATTCTATCTATTCCTTGTAATCTATTTGATTTTTCATATTGAAAGACAATGACTTTTATTCTCATACTTGAATTATCATTTCCTAGGCCTACTATAGATGTCATCCAGGATTTCTATTCCTTAGATGCCTGATTCTTATATCCACCCATCATCATCATCTTTTCTTTCACCCTTGTTTTCCTGGAATTCATACAAGAATAGGAAAGAAACAAATTTTTGAGTACTTGCCTACCTATCTGTAATTAATTGGATTGATACTTTGACTAGATACTATTTACATATTTATAATCATTTTCTCTCATAATTTGATATCACTGCCCCACTGTATTCTAATATAATCTGATGTTGCTGTAAAAGAAGTTAATAAAATACTTTTCCCCTTCTGCATTTAATTAACAATCCAGTTCTGTTCCCCTAGTGACCTGATGAGGGTAGTATGTCAAGTATATTGTTAGGCAACACCACTTACAATAAAGGGATCCCCCTGACTGATAAATTGTCTCTGGACTGGGGAAATTATAATTATCTTAGAGGAAGCCATAACTTTGAGTTTCCTGAGTGTAGTGACTCTTATAACTAGACATGTTTGGTTGGAAAGTGTGTATTTCAAGAGATGTTGTCTTCTGTGGAACAGGTGGTCTTTTAACCCAGAGTTGCTCCCACACTCACAGGGTTGACCTCATCTCCTTGTACTTGAGTGAACTGTTACATGGGCTGCTACAAAGACTCTCTCAGAAGAAGGATGCCTTAATTTGCTCTCCTATGTTCAGGGCACAGGTACCAAACGTAGCTTATGAAAGTCCTGTGAGTTAGAATGTTTAGAAGAACCTAAAAAGACTTTGTGGTAGAAACTGCAGTTGCTAATGAGAAGTCTGATGCCAGCCTAATTATTCTTCCTTTGTAGATAACCTGACTTGTTTTCTTTACTTTCATAATGATGTATCTAGGTTGAGGTTTTTCCTTCTGCTTCGAATTTAGTGAATCCTTTCAGTTTATAAAGACTCATTTGCTTTGGCTCAAGAAAATATTCATGTATCATAGCTTATGTAATTTCCTCTTACCTCTTTTTAAAACTCCTATTAGTCATAAATAATATTTCCTGAAATTATTCCTCTTTGTCATTTTATCTCATTCTGCTTCAGATTTTTTGTTCTGACTTTTGGGAGCCCTTGCCCTACAATTTAATTTTTAATTTCAGTAATCATAATCATAAACTTCTAAAAACTTTTTGTTCTCTGATCCTTTTCTACAACGATCTGTCCAACTGTCATATATGAAGTTTCTTCACAAATCTCTGAAAATGCAAACATTTCCATTTATTTTTAAATCTGTCTTCTGCTTTTTGAATTTTCTTTTTCCTCCGAGACTAATAATTCAGTTTCTATATTGTGGACTTTTTCAGTTTGTGTGCGTTTTCAGTTTGACAATCCTTAACTGTTTATCTCTATATAACGATGCAATAGTGGGTAAATAATTCCATATATCTAGTGTGGCTTTCTTCCACCACCATATATGTAGGTTTTCATTTTCCTAGAAATCATTTCAATATATGAATTTTGACCTATTTAAGATATTATATTTTTACGGGCTCTATATAATACTGACCTTCATAATGAAATGTAAGCTATGCCTATCAGAGAAATGAGAGAGGTAAAAGAGACTTGAATGATAAAGTTTTAGAACTTACCTTACACTAATAGTAAACATTTCCAGGATATCTTTTCCTAGTAACCAGCCAACCAACATGATGATACCTGGAACAGAATTAAATTGCTATTTTTTCCCCTTTATATAAAATCACCTAGAAGGGACAGAATGACAAGCTGAGGGCATCTAAAAGGCCCCTTAATATATAAAACGGAAAGTAGATCACAATTTAAAAGTTTTATAAAAGTCCATTAAGCAGAGGAGATTAAAGTTAACACTGCTTAATGTCAATACTGTGCGTGCATGCTCACATGCACACACACATATATAATTTTACCCCTCTGGTTGCCACTGCTCCCATGTATCCCTTAATGCAATAGTATCTGGTAATATGGGAAAATATTACCAACATTTTCATACCATGGAAAAAAAGAGGCAGCATCAAGCATATTGGTTTTCTATTTACTATCACTTTGCAGTAATAAACCCTGGAACTTTATTTTTCGTAACTCAATATCAAAACATTACACTTATATACTACATTCAAAGGAACCCTTAGGACTTAGCTCAAAGAGTGAGATACCTTAAGACACCTAAAACTGCATTAACATTTAAAAATTTCTACTTTTGTGGTATTTAAAAAATTTTTAAAAATCAATTGATATGAACCATAATCCCTTTTTCAACCTTTTATCTTTAAAAAGAGGGGGCAAGAAGTACACCACCAGGTTTGTGAGGAAAAAGGAAATAGTATCATCATAGGTTTGATAAAATAAAGCAAATTCAGAATTGTATTCTAGATCAATATGAATGTTTAAAATAAGTTTTTTTTATCTTTATATTAACTACAATATAATGATCCAGACAGTAACCTTCTAAGATCCCATTTCAAATACTATACTGATAAAAGAAATAATGTCCAATGAATTATGCCAGGGGGGTCAGCAAACTACAATCTGTGGGCCTCCTGCCTGTTTTGGGGAATAGTTTGTTGGAACATGGCCACATCCATCTGTTTATATATTGTCTATGGTTGTTTTTGTGTTGACAGTACAGTTAAATGTGTCCAACAAAGTCCATATGGACAACAAGTCTAAAATATTTACTATCTAGTCTTTTTTTACAAAAAAAAAAAAAAAAAACTTTGCTGACTCCTGATTTGGATCTGGACCCTCAGTCTATTCTACATTACCCTCACAAGAAAAATTATGTCCAATGTATTATACTAATATAAAACCAGATAATCATGAAGTTGAAACATGTTTATCACTAAATATAAGATAGTTTTATTGTACAGTATTAACATAAGCTAAAGATTTAATTGGCTAGAATGCCCTTGAATTTATACACTCAGTATAAAACTTGTAGAAAATAAATAGCAATCATCAAAGGAAAGGAGCTATGAGAACGTACACATCAGTTAAACAATAATAACGAAATATCTTCCCACCTTCTACTTTATGTTTATGATAAAGAGATAAATAGAATATTTAAGAAATTATTTCACTGAAGTTATATAGCAGAAATATTGCTTTAAAATTGCATTACTGACTTGAAAACACTAAGCTAGCTAGAATAATTAAAATAACATGGTAAGAGAATTAAAGAAAGGGTAAAAAGACTCCAAAATTAATGCAAGTGTTTAATGTATGATAAAGATATCATTTCAACTCATCAAATAAAAAATGGATTACAGAATTAATGGTACTGGGATAATTAATTACCATTTGATTAAAAAATTTATAATTCTGCCTTAAGCCATGTACTGAAATAAATTTTAAGTAACACAGTAAAATTAAGTGTCAAAACTAAAAACTGTAGAACAATGTTTAAACAAATGTTCTTATAAACATGGGGTTGAGAGAGTCTTTATCGATGGAACACAGACAGACACCTTGATTGTAGAGATCATCAAGAGGAGGGTGCCAACAGAATCCCAGGAAAGGGGGATGTTTCAATAACACATATCCCCCCCTCCCTCCTACCAAATTTATTATATATCCCTAAAAGGCAATTTAAAAATTGGGGAGAAAACTACTTGTATTTTAAGCAATAAAAGGACTGATAACCTAGTTATATAAAGAGCTGTTATCAGTGTAAGACTCAAGATAAAAGGGACAAAAATAGTTGGTAGACCATAAAATGAAATAAAAATAATCAACATACATATGATAAAGTATTCAGTTTCTCTAATAATGAACTTTGATGTAAAATAACGGGAAGTCTTTTATTCATCTGTGAAGTTAATGCCAACACTCAAAGTTGGCAAAAATTTAAAAACTACATGAATATCCTTTGACTCAATAATTTTACTTCTAAGAATTTAACCTAAAGAAATGAGAGCTTTTACAGTAAAATACCTGCACTGAAGAACTATTCATGAGTTTAAAAACTCAAAAAACTTAGGTAAATGTCTAAAAGAAGTCTGATATTACTTCTTCTCCTTCACAAAACAGAACACTATACAACCTTTAAATTTATTTTAGGTGAGCATCTATTTAATGACAAGATGTTTATGATCACATATGTGAAACAAAAAAAGAAGTCCATAAAATAGCAGCATCACATTTTTGTTGAAGACTTGAAATACAAAAACGCTAAAATGTTTATAGTGATAGTCTCTGATTATCAGAATTATACAGAGTTCTATTTTTACTTTGTGGAAAAGGACAATGGCTAGGGATTAGTTTCATAATTTTAAAAAAATAAGTATTAAGCTTATAAAAAGAAAAACCAATAAATAGGACTAGAATACCACCACCCTTCACATTCAAAAAAGAAAATACAAATAAAAATGTAACACATACATACTCACTCTTCTCTTACCTATTATACCAAAGGAGTAAAATGAAAGTTGTTTTCCTAAGAGGTCCATACTCTTCTGTAGAGGAGTTTTTGGTGCCTTAACAAATTGGAGAAGAATGTCACCACAATTAGCTAAATTTACTAAGCTTTACCAGATGCCAGGGACTCTGCTAAGTGCTTGGCATACCGATTTCTAAGTTAACCATGTAACAATCCCACCACAAAGTAAATATTAATATTACCAAATAAGTAAATATATTTATTTAACTATCCATGAACCACTGTTCCTATCTTAAAAAAGGAACAGGTACTGAGGACTATCCATTATCTGGTAAATGGCATAACTATGGATATGTTACACTTCAGGGAACTTCGAGAAACTGAAGTTTAAACAACTCCTAAGGTCAGACAGTAAGGAATGAAAACTCTCTCCATTTTAAGAAGCCTGTTTATTTGAAAAGGTCCATTCTCCCTATGATTCCCTTTAAGAAAAAATCTGTTCTCTCTCCTACCAACTTCTGTAGGACTTCATTACCATTTTTCCATTTTTCCCTTTCTCTACCCACAAACCTAAGTCTGTTTATCCTGTGGGGGCTCCCTGATGTGCTAACCCTCTTCTCTGCCCATCCATTCACTTCCAAGTTTCTTGGAATAGTTTTCTATGTTGCATCACATACCGCAGTCTTGGCAGGTTACTTTAGAAATTCAGATGATTTGAGGAGGACATGACATTTGCAGAATACAACTTCTTTTTTATATATAAGAAAGTATTTTAAATGAAAGAACTCATCTTTAATACCCTTAACCAAGAATATCTTCTAGGTTATTTGACTTGGCAATCTTACCCGCCTTCCATTACTTAGAACTATATAAAGTTGGAAATTTTGTTACAAGTGTTCTGAGGTGCAAATATACTAATTAGTAATCCTTAAAATTAATATGACAAAGCTAATTTCTAAAAAGAATAGTATCTATAAACAATTGTCTGTAAATCTTTTTCTACTATAACCAATGAATAAAAATCAAAATCTTTTAGAATACTGACAATGTCAATTCAGGCCCTTCTGATTACAGGCTTTCAAATTATGTCTCTAAAAAGAGACAACTGAGTGATATTCTGAATAAAATAATGCTCTCAATAGCACATAAAATAATCCACCAATATTCTCTTTTCATCTACTAACAATGAGAATTTCACATTTGAAATAAATGCATCAATATATTAAGTACTCACTTCTTCTGCTTGCATCATTTTAAAAACCTCCCCAAATTCAGAATTTTCTCCTGTTCCAATGACAATACCCTAAGGGGAAAACAGGAAAATACATTTACATTCAGATGGAATCACCTATCAAAAAAACAACAAAAAGCTTTCATGCCCATTTTTCAAAGTCTTACATACAGTGAAGATGTCTGACATACATATCCAAGGTTTCTTCAGCAAATTTACTTCATGTTATTGTCACCAGTATTTACCCCTTATGATACAAACTATGGAAATAAATACTTCATTACACTTATTACTGACTCAACTCCTAGGCCCATTTTGTGCCTATATTAACATTTCTGAAATTCACGTCTATATTATACTGAATAGAGACATTTAACTTAGTTTCTTTTCCCCCTCATAAGCTAGTTAATGGTGCCTTTTATATTGGTGGAATATTAGAATCCAGGAAGACAGTATTTGAAATCAATCAGTAAGTGAACTATAGTCAGAATATTATAGCCTGTATTATATATCAACTAAATTAAAACTTTATGTAACTAGTAATGAACATATCCATGAACTACTTGTTTCTATCTTATACAAAGAACAGGTACTGAGGATGATCCATTATCTGGTAAATGACAGAACTACAAATATATTCTTCTTCGGGGACACAACTTCTCCCCAATCTCACAAATAGGTGCCAAGTGTTACTATGTTCAATTGTATTTTTGTCATATATTTCGAAAAAACTTCCACATAAAATAAGCAAAAAAGAACTGAAAAAACAGTCTAAGAACCTTCTTTTTTCAAAACAAGAAAAAAAATTACCTTTGCTTTGCCACATCTGACAAGTGTTCCCATGAAGGCAATGTTACTTCTTGATGCAAGATCTCCATTAGTTGCAGCTGGCTGAGGAGCTGTCACCTTAGAACAAGGTGTTGTCTCTCCTGTCAAGCTGGATTCATCAATGGAAAGATCCACAGCCTTGGGGAGCAAAAAGAATTCCATAAATTTAAGTTTGTGCTACATTTAACATCTCAAGAGTTCGTAACCATCACTTCTTCCTCAAATATTCCCGTTCTATTGATTAGCCACATTTTGTATCACACATCCTTACTCTAAGTCAAAAGATCAGAATGGCCCCAGCAGGAACAACATCACCTCCACAACCTCAGAACTTGTTACAAATGCGAATCCTCTGCCCTACCTCAAAAACGTAAGAGTGGGGAAAGTAAATCTAAAAGACTGTGTTTACAAGCTCTCCAGGTGATTCTGCTGCACACTCACTCGAGTTTGAGAATTAATGGAACACAGTATTTCCCAAACTACTTTGATCCATTTTACTCCAGAAGCTCTTATTCAAGGGTCTTTAGGATACTCTTTGGGAAATCAGGAACTAGGTTCATGATTTTACTAATTTTACAGGCTCATTCACTCACCCAACAAACATTTATTGACTTATCTTAACATATGTGCTAGGCACTGAACTAGATCCTGGAAAGAAAACAAGATAAATTACTGTGCAATCTCACTGCTATTTTAAGCTGATGCGTTTCTCATTCAGGCCTCTTAAAGTTCACACTATATACCAAGTACTCTAAACTTTAACACTTCTTTTTTTTCTTTTTTGGAGGAGAGGAATGAAAGGTAATATTAGTTCATCTCCTTATGAGCATAAATACCTCAATAATCTCATATAAAATTATAAAAAACTGGTTTGCAGATTCTTCTTCCCCACATCTGCAACAAAACCATTTTAATTTGATCAATGCCATTCCTTCATGCACTTAACAAATATTTCTTAGTGTTTACAATGTGCCAGGCCCTGTGCCGTATCACACAGTGGGAGAATCAGCAATGAACAAAACCAAGTTCCTACCCTTAGCTATTATTCTAATGCGGCGGGGGGGGGGATGGACAATAATAGGAATAGAGTGACATTTTAGACACGAGAAAAGAGAGCATTCCTCAAAATCAGGTAACATGTGCAGAGCCCTGAGAGATCTGAGAGCTTCAAGGTTGGACCATGATCAGGGAGAAAGGATTCAAGGCAAAGGAAGCAAAAAGTACAAAGACCTTGGGGGCAAGAACATACTTATGTTCATGTGCGAGGTAAACATATAACTTCGTAAAAACAATCAAGAATTTACATTAGATCATGAAGTTTAAAACTGTTCAGCATGAAGATAAATTATAACATATAAATCCAAAGAAACAAAACTGTGTTGGCATTTCCCAAAAGTTTAGGTACTATGGCAATGAAATGCATTTTAGTATCAATAGGCTTACAAAAAATTATTCCTTAAAACACAAATCAACAGACCTTCAGTCTTCAGAAGACTTCACATTTAATATAATTGTGTATGCAAACACAGCCAGGTAAATTTGAGTTCCTTACCTCAATCCAACTATAGATTAAAAAAAAACACCTGTCACATTTGAAAGCAATGAATTTTTCTTCATTAAAGAAACGTATTTATTTGGCTCTTTTTTCCAAATTAACCTTAGAACTCAATAACTTTTCACACTAACACATTCTGAAAATCCCACTCCCACCCGCTACCAGCATGCAAAATCCTACTATGGAAGAAATCATCCCTGGCACTGTGTCCCACTGGACAGAGAAAGCCATGCCAGCTCTTGAGCAGAACACAACACATTGGGCTTCAGCTGTATTTCTCATTTGTTGTTGATGTGAGGGGTTGAGGCAGGGGTAAGGAGGGAGAGTGATTGGATTTTGGTTTGTTCCCCATTAGAAAACAACAGTTTTGTTCTTAACTTCATTTCATTTGGAACTAAGAGGCCTAATTTGATGGTTTTCAATCTCTTCTTCTCTGTCCTGATTTTAAAAGCCCTCCTTTTTTTTTTTCTTTTCTTTTTTTAGGCATATATAGTAATATTCGAAAGATTTAATTTGGGTAACTTTGAATCTTAAAAGAGAAAAACAAAGCATGTGAATAAACATTGAAGTGTTCACCTCAGGTAGGAACCACACTGCTTGGATCTTTGTAAAAACCAGTTTTATATGTCAAGGAGGAGTTTAAGGCCTTTCTGACCACCTTGTGTTCCCCTTTCCTGTGCAGCCATGGATTACCTGGAGTTGTTCCTAGCCATATCCCACATGCCCCTATATTCGTATTTTCTAATTTCTTCTGGGAGGCTGGGCTTCCCATTCTCCACCAGCAGCTCCAGCATCCCAAACTTTCTACTCCTGCTGATCCTCTCACCAACAGGGGTGGAAACTAGAGGGCACTTTCTGGTCTGTTTTCAAAGGAACTTATGAATTCTATTAATCTTTACAAATATAAGATGAAAAAATAATTTTTCAATACTTTTTATTAATCTTTTCTTAAAATGAAAAGAAACTCCTATGATCAATAAAGGAAGGTGGCTATGGTTGCATGGTTCATGGGTTTTTGTAGTTTTTTTTTTTTTCTCTTTTTAACCTTAAGCTTTAAGTTGAAACATTCTCAGGTGTTCAGGGGGAAACATCCTTTTAAAATGGGTCCTTGTGCTTGCCTTCTGGGGAGGCAGTCCAGAGGAGGTGGGTCATATGGCATTCATGCATGTTATTATATATGCAGCCTACACCCATCCCTTCATCCCCAACCTTTGCCTCCTGGGTTGTTGTGCTACTTTCCCCTTACTTTGCTACATTTCTATAGTTAAGTGGTTTTACTTGAATGATTCATGTTTAGGGGGAAAAATGAAAATCTCCCTTAAAATTTGTTCCTACTCCTACAAATAAAAAAAAATAAATGAAGTGGCAGATGTTAAAAAAAAAAAAGGGTAAGAAAACCTCCAAAAATAGACCTTCCTTCAATGATTCTAATACTAATAACAGTCAGCTAACATTTCATTGCTTACTATCTGCTAAGCACTATGCTACATACCTATGCTAAATTATCACATTTAATTCTACTAACAACTCCTATGAAGGAAGTACTATTATAACTGCTTAGCAGACACTCTGAAAGGTTAGGCAACTCACTCAACATCATACAGACAGAAAGTCATGGAGATGAGATTCCAATGTTGACAGATGTTAACTCCAGATTACTCTTAATTATTTAGAGGATCAATGTGCAAAGTATTTCTCCCCCCTAGTTCTATAACTACTTCTAGGAGGTCACAGGTATAACACATTAAGCAAAGAATGTAAAAAACTATTTTTCTGAATTCCAAAAGTCAACTTACATAAGGTTCATTTTATTTAACAAACTCTTTAATGCTTCTTACGACAATCAGGATTTTATGTTATTTTCTGAGCTATTAATTAGAAAAGAGACCTGTTACTATTTAAAAACAAACAAATACTTGTATACATTTACAGAATTCTTTCTCTAAGAGAGGTGAAATTCATGTTTTTCCCTCTGAAGATTTTTTATGTTAAGAGTAAATCTTAAACATAAATACTAACATGAGGTAATTGTTTATAGGGAGAAGGAATAAAAAAAAATAATCAAAATAATTTGACATTTTTAAAAAGAGAGAAAGGCATGGCCCTATTGGCTCTTTTAGTGACCTAGCTCTTCAGTTTCAGTCTTAGCAGAACAGCCATTTAAGAAAGTAAGAATTTTTGGTTATGGCTTTTCTACAGAAAAGAAGGTCATTTATAGCACAACAGCAATCAACCTTGCCTAGTGTAAGAGACAGACTGATGTGGAGCTTGGGACTCTCATTTTTTTCTATATAATTAGAAATTTGTAGCTGAAATGTAAATTATCAATAACATATAAACAATGAAATCTGTCTAAATCATACCATGTCCCAAATGGCAAAGATCTCAACTATCTATTGAACAAGAATATTTTCTAAGTTACAAGTTATTTTCTCTCAATGGTGACTGCAAGAGTTTTCATAGGAAGCAGTTTTGAGGGAGTGGGGGTAAGGAGATCACTCCTAACAAGAGCGGTATTTAATAAATTAGGCAAGCCTATTACAGTTTAATAAAGTCACAATTTAGTTCATCTGAGAATAAAGATATTTGAGTCATAAATACTCAAAGTGAAATCAAAGAATAAAAGATAAAGTGAAATCAAAGAATCAGCCAACCCATGCCTCCTGGCCAAAATTTTAAACATTAAATCTTCAGAAGAGCTGTTAATGAAATGGGAAATAAGTTTTTCAGTTTCATTTCTCCCTCAGGTACTCCAGTAGAGGTTTCAATAAGCTACAACACAGTTCAAAAACCAAAATATAAATAAGAATCAAGATGTATATATAATTTATAATCTGGATATTTAACACCTACACAATAAAAAAGATTAGA